TTTTTTTTTTTTTTTATACGTAAAAGTATATATAAATATATACAAATCTTCTAATATGGTGAACATATATTAAATATAATACTCCATATACACACAACATATACTTAATAGTTTACAAAAAAATCTTCTAATATATTGAACATATACTCAATATACACACCACATATACTTCATATACACACCTCTACTTAACAATTTACAAAAAAATCTTCTAATATATTGAACATATACTTAATATACACACCACATATACTTTTTTTTTTCTTTTATACATAAAAGTATATATGTAGTTTAAAAATATATTATAATATATTACTTAATATAAAACCCTACATGCACACAACACCAACAAAAAAATTCAGTTTATGCTAAATATAAATAGATTTTATACATAAAAATGCAATAAATTTCTTTATCATATACCGGAAATATACTGAATATAAACCATACATATCAAACAATTCTTATTTTGCTTTATCATTGACATATTAAAAGTTTAATCTACCTGTTCCTTCTACAGTACTACTTTTCTTACAAAATATGGTTTATTTGATATGATTTGAGCATCAAATAAAACAAAACTAAACACTCATGTAAAAGAGTAAAAAATATCAGAGGATAAGGTTGCATCATCTCCTCCTAAGAAGGCTCCTCAAGAGTCAGAGAAAATTAGTATGGTTCCATTCATTATAATTCCGTCACCGACGAAGGGCCGTACCATCTTCGGTGCACGCTGTGAAGTCGTTATTGCCCACCGCACGGCGCCTGAAGTCGCCGACGACTCCCGATTTCTCACCTCGACGGCGGACGATAAACGATAGAGCACGGATCTAACAGCCTGCAAGATTGGAGATAAGGCAGTATTAGTGAAGTGCTCAATAAATTCTATAAATTCTTTGGATGAAAGTGGTTTAGGATTGAGAGGAGAACCTGAAAGTCTCAAACTTTATTCGATTAACAACAATTACAAGAGAATTCTTCCTTCGAATTCGAACAGGAAAAAGGCAAAGAGAAAATGGAGAGAGAGAGGAGAGTGGTTGGGTTGTTTTTAGAGTTTCAATTTTTTGTGCCATTGTTTAGGTAAGGAGATCCTTAATTGATTAGCATTTAATATGCCAAGAAAAAAGAATAATCGTTACATCCTAATTCAGGCAAAATTGAAATATCTTTTGCTTAGTTAGGCAATTTTATAAATTAAAATGTAAGGGGCATATAAGTGTAATAAAAATCATAATAGGTGGTAAAGGATGCAAATTTCTCTAAATTATATTATTTAAGAAATCCTACGATTGTGAAAGCCATTGGTATGCAAAGGATTTGCGAAAACGAAGCCTGATTAGCCTTCCAGTGGAATGGCATAAGGCATTGGCATATCAGAACAAGGTTCTTTCAAAGAATATTGTGCCCATTTAACGTGGGAACTATGTTAATGTATTTCTTTACTAATATCACGAAGCTTGAAAAATAAATAATATTGTATAATAAAAAGTGAAGAAGTCGATGTTCAATGGTAGAACAGAGAAACATCAAGAAGACAGAGAAACTGCAGGAAGAGAATTGGGGACAAACTCTTTCATTATCAAGCAAAAAAACACACAAAGTCTGATAGTTACAAGGGCTATATGGAAAAGAGGGAGATATTTAAAATAAGGCAAAATTGTGGCTAATATCATGACCTTTATCGAGATTGCAAATTAATCACAACCTTTTAACTTTTGCATAATATATCACACCCTTCAATTCTTTGCAAAACGATACATCTGCTGCCTCAACTCGCCTGACGTGACACTCAAATTGCCAACGCACCTGCTGATGTGTATTTAACAGACAATTTTTTTTACATAATTAATCACAACCTTCTAACTTTTGCATAATATATCACGCCCTTAATTTTTTTTTGCAAAACGATACATGGTTTAACATATGTTTTTTTTTGTTTTTTTCATCTCATCCTTGGACGAGATGAAGGGGGAGATTTTGGAACCCTTGGGGATATATTAGGCTAGGGCCGGAGAGAAAACAGATTATTGAGACTTTTATTTTTTTTCTTTTCATCTCAAAACTCATTCTCTCAACAACTTTCACTTGGTTTTCTTTGGATTTTGCTTGGGTTCGAGTTTTGGAGATTATGGCACTCCATAACGAACACGGTTTGGTTTGTAATTCGATTTTATTCTCGACTTGGATTAATAGTAATTTCCTTTCATTTGATTATGGAAGTGATTTATTATGTTGAATCTTTTGTTGGGATTGATATCAATATGTGTGGCTAAATCGCTTCGTTAGGGATATGAGATATTTGTTTTGGTTCGATTGAGATTCATGTGTACGTGTTTGCCGTTCAATCTATTCGAGTTGTGCTTAATCTAGGGTTAGATGTTTGATCATCATTCTAATCTAGTTAATCAATTTGTAGAACCGGAAGGGAAGAAATTGGTTGATCTCGGCTCGTTTCGAATAGGCTTGTTCGTTAATGTATTGTCTATATTTCAATTGTTTGATAATTGATCGTTATGAAGAGTTAATGAGAACAAGCCTCTAAATGAGTATGTTATTTGATCTCTTAACCGAGCGGTTGCGTGCTAATTGATTACTTAAGAACCATAAACGAATATCTCCGACTCCCTAAGTGTTATTGTATATAAATTCAATAGTAAAAAATCCAATCAAAACTCAAATTTAACTCAACTTTAACTCTACCCCACTATCTTCAAAATTAATAATATAATTAAATAATATCAACCAATCATTCTTACATATCACATCAACTTTAATTCACTATTCATTCACTCACATAATTCTAACTAACTATCACTTCCAATCATTTTTCTCCTATTTTACATCAAATCAACTTTAATTATTTTATTTAAATATTATTTTAATATATCCACTAACAACTAACCACACCACATTTTTTCAAAATTAACTATAGTTAAAAATAAACCAAATAAAAACTAGTTTTTTTACTATTGAAACTATAAACAATCACCACCTAACTCACCAATCATTATTTGAACTCCATTTTGAATTTGAAGTGTGTCTTGCTTTATTTTTAGAATTTGTAGTTGATAATCAAAACAAAAAACTATTGAATTAGAGTGTTTCGGATTTGTTTTGTCTTTTCGTGTGATTGAATACACGTGCAAAGTAATTCGGCTAACCTTCCTTGAAAGACGACTCGTTGTTTGAATCTTTTCGTGTTCCAAAATCTCCAGCTCTAGCCTAATATATTCCCAAGAGTTCCAAAATCTCCCACTCATCTCGTCCAGGGATGAGATGAAAAAAAAAAATCATCTGTTAAATACACGTCATACTAGTTGGGCAACAAATGAAAACCGTGTATCGTTTTGCAAAAAAAAATTAAGGGCGTGATATATTATGCAAAAGTTAAAAGGTTGAGATTAATTATGCAAAAAAAATTGTCTGTTAAATACACATCAGCAGGTGCGTTGACATTTTGAGTGCCACGTCAGGCGAGTTGAGGCAGCAGATGTATCATTTTGCAAAGAATTGAAGGACATGATATATTATGCAAAAGTTAAAAGGTTGTGATTAATATGTAATCTCGATAAAGGTCATGATATTAGCCGCAATTTTGCCTTATTTTTATATTGTGATATCATTATATTAATTTTTCGATAAAAGAAAAGTGTTGCTACAATGATATGTTTAATAACAAATTAATTTACGCCGCTAAACTTAATCAATCAAAAACATTCACCGTCATGTATATTGCACGTCCACTTTACTAATTAAAAAATCGTTTCTTCAAAATTAATGACAACCGATGATGTATGACGGAGGATTTGCCATATATGTAATGTAAAATGTTATTACTTAAACATATTATTATCACAGGAAAATCGTTGGTAGTTAATACTATACAAGTCAGTAGATCACCGCCCACAACTACTTGGAGTTTTGCACGAAATGTTGAATTCAATGGGGCTCTGCCCAATCAGAGACACTCACGTGTCCTTATAATTTTTCAATGAAAACCAGGCGTGTTGACAAAAGATTAGGAAATGTAGGTCACCTCTCACAAAAATTTCAATAAATAAACACAAAGACAGGCTAGCTAATCAAAGTCATGGTCAACAAGCACCTCACTTACTGACTTACACACACACACACACACACACACACTGCCCTGAATTATAATAAATCCACATGATCAGCCACCTCGTATTGGGTATAAAAACTCCCACACTTTTGTTGTTCTTTCCTTGTAATAATTGATTTGAGTTGATTTGAGTGTTGCTGCTGCAATTGCATGTGTTGTTGTTGCGCAACTCCACACCTAACCCTCACCAGCCCCCGCGCCGCACGCAGTCCTTTTCCCTCCCTCAACCATTTTCAGCAGCAGCAATCAACCATATATTATAACTAACAGTATACACTGCACACTAACTAGAACAATCTTCAACTCAATTTTCATTTGCATTTGCAAGCACTTGTTATGACGAGTGCCGTAGCAAATTACCCTTCACCAGATGGATATGAAAACGACAGCCCCCAGTCGACGCTGGGTCACCTCCTCAAATGTGTGGGCGATGCGCGAAGGGACCCGGCCGGAGGCGACGAGACTCCCGCCCACCACGTGCTCGACCTAGGCGTGCCTTCCTCCTCCCTCCCCTTCGTCCTCTCCTTCACCAACATCACCTATACCGTCCGGGTGCCCCGCAAGCGGGACATGTTGTCGGGGGCGAAAACCATCTTGGACGACATCTCCTGTGAGGCCCGCGACGGTGAGATCTTGGCGGTGATGGGGGCTTCGGGCTCCGGGAAGTCGACCCTCATCGACGCCCTGGCCAACCGCATGGCCAAGGGGAGTCTCAAGGGCTCCGTCACCCTCAATGGGGAGCACCTCGAGTCGAGCCTTCTCAAGCTCATCTCGGCTTACGTGATGCAGGACGACCTCCTCTTCCCCATGCTTACCGTGGAGGAGACCCTCACGTTCGCAGCCGAATTCCGGCTGCCGCGAACGCTGTCCCGCTCCAAGAAGAAGCTGCGCGTCCAGGCCCTGATCGACCAGCTCGGGCTGAGGAGCGCCGCCCGCACCGTGATTGGGGACGAGGGCCACCGTGGGGTCTCGGGCGGCGAGCGGCGCCGAGTCTCCATCGGGACCGACATCATTCACGACCCCATCCTGCTGTTCCTCGACGAGCCCACGTCCGGCCTGGACTCGACGAGCGCGTACATGGTGGTCAAGGTGCTGCAGAGGATTGCGCGCAGCGGGAGCATCGTCATCATGTCCATACACCAGCCCAGCTACCGCATCCTCAGCCTGCTCGACCGCATGATCTTCCTCTCACGGGGCCAGACCGTCTACAGCGGGCCCCCGTCGGGCCTCCCCAACTTCTTCTCCGACTTCGGGCACCCCATCCCCGATGATGAAAACCGCACCGAGTTCGCCCTAGACCTCATCCGTGAGCTCGAGGGCTCCCCTGGAGGGACCAAGAGTCTGGTGGAGTTCAACAAGTCGTGGGGAAAGCTTGCTTCTGGGGCCAATCACCAACAACAAGTAGTAGTAGCCAATAATGCTTTGTCCCTCAAGGAAGCAATAAGCGCCAGCATCTCGAGAGGAAAGCTCGTCTCCGGGGCGGCCGGTGGTAGCAGCAGTCCGGCAGCTATGGTCCCCACGTTCGCCAACCCTTTCTGGATCGAGATGCTCGTGCTCTCCAAGAGATCCTTCACCAACTCGCGCCGGATGCCGGAGCTCTTCGGGGTGCGCATGGGGGCGGTGATGGTGACGGGATTCATCCTGGCCACCATCTTCTGGAGGCTGGACAACTCTCCGAAAGGGGTTCAGGAGAGGCTGGGGTTCTTCGCGTTCGCTATGTCCACCACTTTCTACACGTGCGCGGACGCCCTTCCAGTCTTCCTCCAGGAGAGGTACATCTTTGTGCGTGAGACGGCGTACAATGCGTACCGCAGGTCGTCATACGTGCTCTCCCACGCGCTGGTCTCTCTGCCGTCGCTGCTCGTGCTCTCGCTCGCATTCGCGGCACTCACCTTCTGGGCGGTGGGGCTTGACGGGAGCTTCGCTTTCTACTTCCTCATCATAGCAGCCTCCTTTTGGGCTGGGAACTCCTTCGTGACCTTCCTGTCGGGAGTGGTGCCCCACGTCATGCTTGGGTACACCATAGTGGTGGCCATCCTTGCCTACTTCCTGCTCTTCAGCGGATTCTTCATAAACCGGGACAGGATCCCCCCTTACTGGATCTGGTTCCACTACATATCCCTCGTCAAGTACCCCTACGAGGCCGTCCTGCACAACGAGTTTGAGGACCCGGTGAAGTGCTTCGTGCGAGGGGTCCAGATATTCGACAACACGCCGCTGGGAGCAGTGCCGGAGGCCCTCAAGGTTAGGCTGCTCAACAGCCTCAGTAGCTCCCTCGGGATGCGGATCACCAGCCAGACGTGCGTCACCACCGGAGCAGATATACTGCAGCAGCAGGGGATCACGGACTTGAGCAAGTGGAGCTGCCTTTGGGTCACGGTTGCCTGGGGATTCTTCTTCAGGATACTCTTCTACCTCTCGCTGCTGGCCGGCAGCAAAAACAAGAGGGCCTGATCATCTTTACTTTGTGTTGTGTTCCTCATTTCATATAAAGATATCATGCAACCTGCCTTTTCCTGGGTTTGTTCTTTATTTTTTCCTTTAGAAATATATATATTACTTCTCGATGCCCGTGGCAATGCATTGACTAGTGAACAATCAATATCTATTCCAATTTTTATTTATTCTTTTCTCATGTAAATTATAATTTCTACCTTTCTTGATTTGGGGACTTTTGTCTGATGGATGAGCGTAAAAGCCTGGTGTAAAATTGTTTGGTTCCATAACTATATATACATTTTTGGAAAAACCATTCGTTTAGTTGAACTTGATCCGCAACATGGGGCCAATTTGAGGTGACTAACTTTCTCTGAGTTGAATTAATGCCTTCGTGAATCGGCATCGAGAACTTAGGGGGTTCCCGACGTAAAAAAACTGCGACGGTCAAGTTAGTTTTAAGTGAGCTTACTGTTCATTGTGAAATGCAAATCATACTCTCTTGTTCCTTTTATATACCTTAATTAAGATCCTCTTTACTCTTTTCCAGTGCACATGTTAATGAAGTTTGCATAAATTGACTCACCTTGTTAATTGAGAAATATAAGTGCGGCTTGTTTATAGTTGCATAATGTAGAACTTTCAAGCTTCAAAAGGTTGTAATTTGAGGTGAGAGAGATGGTGACCAACTATAGTAGGATAGTTTAACCCCTTTGCACTCAACATATTGAACTTTTTTATAAATCTCTTCATCAATGTACGCCTCTTGGCTAAGGAACCATCCTTTTGCTGTTTGACAAAACTGTATCCCTGATAAATAGCTTAATGAGCCAAGATTCCTTATAGAGAGACAATATTAGAGTTTAGGGAATGTCTAATTTAAGAGAGGAATCAAATTTTAGAGGTGTCAAAACCTATGTTTCTTAACACTGGTGATATATATATATAGGGATTGGATCCAATAAGTCCACATATTTAAAGTGTGAATGTGAGACCCATTCTTAGCCATTAGATTGGTACATTATGTGTGGCTAAGATTAACTCTTCAATTAAATAATAATTCTTTATTTTTATTACTTATTTCTTTATTTTATTATTTTAATAATTTAAATATTATTTTGACAATTGACCATTGACTTCGGCGTTGACCGTTGACTCTGGCGTTGACCGTTGACTTCCGGCGTTGACCGTTGGCTTCCGGCGTTGACCGCTGACTTCCGGCGTTGACTTTCAACATTGACCGTTGACTTCCGGCGTTGACTTTCAACATTGACCGTTGACCCTTAGCATGCATTGTGTATGAAGTAAATATGCATTAGTACTATGCACTTAGTATGAACTAAATATGCATCATAAATGAATTATATATGTTATCCTTATGAACTAAATATGCACCAGTAATATCAACTATGTATGCACTGTTTATGTACTAAATATGCACATATTACTAACTAAATATGCATCAGGAATGAACTAAATATGCAATAAAATATACATTTTATACAATTAAATTAAATATAATAATTAATGATTTTTATTATATAATTAATTTTAATTTTAAATTGATTAATAACACAAATAAATTGTTATGATTGGATCTCAAATAAAATAGGTATGCACTTAGTATGAACTAAATATGCATCATAATTGAATTATATAAGTTATCCTTATGAACTAAATATGCACTAGTAATATCAACTATGTATGCACTGTTTATGTACTAAATATGCACATTTTACTAACTAAATATGCATCAGGAATGAACTAAATATGCAACGAAAATATGCAATAAAATATATATTTTATACAATTAAATTAAATATATTAATTAATGATTTTTATTATATAATTAATTTTAATTTTAAATTGATTAATAACACAAATAAATTGTTATGATTGGATCTCAAATAAAATAGGTATGCACTGTTCATGAACTAAATATGCATTTCGTAAGAACTAAATATGCATTTCGTAAGAACTAAATATGTATCATGAATTAAGTAAATATGCATAATAAATTAATTATATAAATATTATTATATATTTAATTTAAATATAACAAGTATGCATTTCGTATTAACTAAATATGCATCATAAATTACCTAAATATTCATAATAAATTAACTAAATATGCATCATAAATTACCTATATAAAATGTACATTTTATTGCATATTTTTTGCTGCATATTTAGTTCATTCATGATGCATATTTAGTTCATAACAAATGCATATTTAGTTCATAACAGGTGCATACTTAGTTGATATTATTGGTGCATATTTAGTTCATAAGGACTGCATGTGCAATTCATATCCCATGCATATTTAGTTCATATTGAATGCATGGTATTGGATGCATATTTACTTCATACATATGATGCATACTAGGGCCAACGGGTCAACGCCGGAAGTCAACGGTCAACGTCAAAAGTCAACGTTTTTTCGTCGGAAGTCAACGGTCAACGTGGGAAGTCAACGGTCAACGCTGGAGTCAACTAATAATTATTTTATTATTTAATTAATATATATTTTAAGGAGTGGACTCATTTTAAGGAGTGTACTCATTTTAAGGAGTGTACTCATTGGATCCTCATATATATATATATATATATATATATATATATATATGATATAATTATACTGGACCCGGTTTAATGGATAAAGCGAATACATTTTAGAAGATAAGCTCACGTGCGGACTAAAGACATATAGCACCGCGATATGGGCCAAGCCTAATTTGGGCCCAAAAGGTACACTTCCCCTATAAAAGGGGGGTTAAGGTATTCCTTTCTCTCATTCTCTCCATTCATTTACTAAACACTTTCTCTCTCTTAATCTGGGCACTGACTTAAGCATCGGAGGCCCGACGCCGGGGCCACCCCCGGCGTTGGGTTCTGCAGGTGCGGAGGCCGTTCGAGTTGAAGGAGCCGGGTGAAATCTATTCACTTCATTGGCGCCGTCTGTGGGGACCCGTCAAAAAGTCAAGCGGAGTTCCGACTGAAAAAATTGAAAAACCTCCTTCTTCTCCACCGGCCACCGCCACCGCCGGCCGCCACCTCTGCCGCCGGCTGCCGAAAAATGGGCTCCGATCGAAAAATCGTTTACATCATTGAATAGATATCTTCGAGGTGAATCTCCCCATAAAATTTCATGCAAAAATTCATTCGGGAAGACCATCAATTTTGCGGTCAAAGTTTTCAGATCTAGTGAAATTTTGGTCAAAATCGGACATTCAAACGCATTTTCCCGACGATCCGGGAGGGCTATGGAAAATCCGAGGGTACCACCGGAATCCTCTCGACGAGACAAATCTCCAGCTATTGATCTCCGCCGTGCGCCGCCGGCCGCCGGTCGAAGTCGTCCGATCTGGAAATCCTTACACCATCGCGAAGCTCTCTTCATGCTCGTTCTACCTTTAAATTTTCAAGCGAAAATTCCACCGGGAAGGCCGTCAATTTTCCGGTCAAGGTTTATGGATCTAGAAAATTTTTAGTCAAAATCGGGTCATCTTCCCCATTTTCCCTTCAATTTTCCGGCGAATCACCTCAATCCAAGGACACCACCGTATTCTACTCACCGGGGCGCACACGCGGGTGGTCACCTTCGCCGGAATCGGCGGATCTTTCCGGCGGCATCTCCCCGGAGACAAAGCCGTTGGCCCGCTGCTGTGCTCACAACTCGGTCTGGAGTGAAATTGTTTGCAGAGCCTGATTCGTGACAGGCTCGAGGTTCTGCGCGGCCCAGGTCCGTTCCTTGCGCATGGAGGCCCAATCAGCGGCCCAATAGAGG